ACGCAAGTTGATGTATATGCGTCAAAGTTGCGGGGATAAGTGTAATGCTACTTTAGTGCTGGTATCAATCTAAAAAAAAAAGATACGAAAATATCGAAAGACTTACAAACTCGACGAGACAGAATTTTTCAGACCAAACCATCGTTTCGACGTATAAGACATTATTATAATTACTTATTATCAAATAAAACCATCGGGCATTTTCAAAAAAAACCTCGAAATTTTTCCACGTAATCAGCCACCTCGTATCATTATACTCGTTCAACGATGGATGTATGTGCACATACACGAAGCCAGAGAGGCCTCACGGGAGCCAAGTCTCACGCTCGTAGCAGACTGTGTCGGAATCGGGGGCAATTAGATCCCGATTGGAAACTAGGCGAAATCGGGCCGCCGCGACGCTCTAGACACAACTTATTCTTTGTATAAACACCGAGATATAAGGCGGACGCGAGCACGCCCGTGTGGGTGTGCGTGCGTATATGTGTGCCCCGACTCGTTACATTGATTCTCAACACTATTTTGCACGTGCGTGTAGTTTATGCACCGAGATGATCTTCCCTTAGCCTGTTGTTGTGGGCCTTTTTTGCCATGTGGGCCATTTAGTCAATGACGTTTTTCATGTGCATCATACATGTCTTCTTCCTCTCAAACTCAGGGCATGAGGTAGTGAATAAAGCGATAAAAAAATGGTACCACCGCGTCCTGTTTGGTCTGCTAATTACGTAAATAAGTACCGATGAATGTCCAAACACTAATTATATTGTCGCTGAAGGTGGCACATCGTCGCATTTGAGAGAAATATGTGTGAAGAATTTCGTCGGCATGTCACCTGAGTAATTGTCAGCCAATTATAGCCATTTTCAATAAATACATCGAGGTAAGTAGATCCTGTCATCTTCCAAGGTTATGCACCCAAAAAAAGGTTTCTCTTCAAAAATGAACAAGACGTTTGTCCCCGCGTGACAAACAACGAGGCTTCGCATTGAATAATACGATACGTTCCTTTGGATCGAGTTGCAGATCTGTTTGGCGCAACAAGCAACCAAGGGGATCGGAGCGCGTTATCTCTCAAGCACGCGACGATTAGAGGCATCCGTCGCTGTCGTCGGCGACTTGGGAAACCAGCAGCCAGCACGGATCAAAGCGCCCCTCCCCCCGCGATTTATCAGAGAAGCCTGTAATCACATGGAGGGAGGGCGTCGCGAATACCGATCGCCGATGAAATTGACCGATCAATTTTCGCTCTCGCGGCGCACGCGCGAACGGGCTCTATATACAACCCGGGGATTAATTTATTATTGGAACGAATGCGCGTGCGAACGATGAAAGGAGGAAAAAAAAAGTCATTCAGAGCCTCGCTACTGTGTCACGCTCGCGCCGCGTTCATTCATCAAGACTTGAGCTTAGCGTTCCCTGCGCGCGCGCGCGTTACGCGAAAATCGTAAACTTGGCATACATTCGGCGCGAGGCGTAAAAACGAGGCCAAAAGGGAGGGGAAAAAAACCACTAGCCCACTGAACGATGTTGCGATACATGGAGGGTCTCAGCCATCGATCAATATTTTACTCTCTCACTCGCAGCCCGATAATGAAGGAAAAAAAAGCTCCGTGTGTTATCCAGATCGAGACGAACGCGCTTTCGTTAATTTACACCCACGCGCGTGTGCGGTGCATAAAACACGTAAAGTACGCGGTGGCGTGAAATGGAAGGAGACTTTTCTACTTTCTCACGCTCGGCTTCGCTAAAACGGACGTGCGTCTGCAGCCGAGTCATGACGAAACCCGCGATGTCTATCGATACCGGGTGGGTATACACATCCACAACAACGAGTCAGAATGACGTTGTACGCAGATTCTGGCCTCGTCATCCTCCCATTGTTTGCATGCATGGGCGAGCGTTGTGTTGTACAAGTGTGGTTAAAGTGTGCACATTCACGGGAATCTTACGGCAGTGCCAAAGGGAGAAGACGGAAAAGCGGGTACGCGGTTATTGAGAACTAAGGGGCACGAGCATTGTCAACTAGGCTCCAATGGGGCGACTGATGATCTACGTTTGTATCATGCGTTGGCTAAAAAACCCTGTGGTGCAATGCACGTAAGCACGAGAGGGATGTATAAGGGTGAAAAAAGCTATGGAGAGGGAGAAAGCGTATGGGTGCAAGTTAACTTTGGGAAATTTGGGTTTCGGGGCTGATGTCGGGAAGTTATAACCACGGAAGTCGTTGGTTGCTGCTCCTCGCGATTTCGCCTCGCTGCGTCTCAGGCGCGTGTTTTGCTTCGTACCAGGAAATGTGGGGGAGAGCGCAGACAACCAACGATGCATGTGTTTTGTTTTTCATTCATTTATATGAAATAAATCGAGAAATAAATATGAATATTGGTCTGTACGTACATGGAAAAGCCAGTGCCTCACTACCTCGATCACTACAATTAAAAAAGTTAATCACTATGTTATAACTAGATGTTGTTGTGATAACGCAAGATGAAATCCATCGGCTGAGACCTCCGTAAAAATGTATAAAAAAAAAAAAGAAGAACAAAGCACAAACCGATCAAACTTTCATTCTTTTCGATTCATCAAATCCACTCTGACCCAAAAAACTGCACCCATCTCTCAATCAGAGCAGCGTCAAAAAAAAAAAAAAAAGGTGAAAATTCGCGCGTGCGATAGGAAAAAAAAAAAAAAAAAAAAAAGATTAAACGTCAGCTCGCGCGTGCGAGCAAAAACAAAGTCGGTCAACGTCGAGAGAGACAGCGAGAGTGTCGGGGTCGCAGACACAACATTGTATATAGAACACAGAGCGGGAGCGACGCCCACGCGTAGCGCATGCGCCCCACTCGTCTCTCTTGAATTGTACACACGTATATTTACACTCGGAGTGCAAAAAGCACGTTGCACGCAACGCGGTATATATTTATACAGACCCTTGGAGAAAAAAAAAACAAGCGATGCTCTCTCGTTGCTTTGCTCCGTAGGATCATCGAAAATCGTCAAATAAGCCACACGAAAGAGAGACATCCCAATTCCATACATACGATTCACAGCTACCATCCCAACAATTTGGAAGAAAAACAAGCGAACGTGAGTATCTCTTATCAGAAGCACTGATAAACAATTTCGTGCCAAGAGGTGATGCCCAAGCTGTTATTGTTTTCGTACGAATATATGTTGGTCCCGACTACAGATAAAAAGTCGTGCTCCAATGATCTACATAACTGCGCCTTCGTGAAGATAAGCACCAACTGGAGATCGCATGATGGGCATTTTTTAATCAAAATCATCGAAATCCGTTGCGATTATCGCTCGGTAAGTACAAAGTTTAAAGTGAAAAAAACGCTGTCGATGCTAAATCTCCCTGATAGCCACGCAACGCCAACAACAGAAGCCGAACGATTGATTATTTTTTTTCTTATTTTTTCCCTCGTTGCAATCAATTTGAGGGCGCAATCTGCCGAGTAGGTACTACCATACACTCGATTCAACGCTCACAACAAGAGCATCAGTTACTGTTGTGCTGTTCAGTCCCGCAACTTGATCCTTCAAAAAAGGCGGTCGTTTCGCGCGTCTCGAAAAGCCCTTCCCCAAAAAGAAGAATACACTTCAGAGAGCCGCATCGCAGATAGGGAGAGAGTGGAAGCGGCCCGAAGTCATAATTTTCGCGCGCTCGCATCCACTCGAGAGGGAGCGACTTCGCTTACCTCTCGTTTTTCGGGGGCATACAGTACACACATACCCGCACACGCGCGCGCTCGTTAGAGCCGACAAAGGTGGCAGCGATAATTGGGCTCCCGTTCTCCCTCTCGGCTATTTTCTTCTGCCTACTTATTCTTCCTCGTGAATGGGTCTCTTTCTCGGAGCGCGTGTCGCACACCACCACGTGGGCTCAACCCCTTGCTGCTGTTGTCGACTCTTATTATCGTTCTTGCCGAGCCCGGAACACTTGGCTCTTCGTTTTGGGGCTCGCACAAAGAGGATGAGAGTTTTTGGGCACTTGAATTTCTCGTGACGTGAAATTACTTTCCTTAAAAGAATCCCTCGATATTTTCACGATTGAAAAGCTCCGTTAATCGAATTTCAGCTTTTCGCATCGAACACCTTCCTCTAACTTGGCCAAGCTCTTTTGCGATTGGCACATTTCAGAGGTGAGCCTATACCTACCTCGATGCAGTTATCATCGTACAATAAAAGTGAGCGTAAGACGTACATGTGACACGTGACGTATATTTCATACAAGTATGCGTATACGAGAGCTAAAAGGGTGTAAGAGTATATGAGGAAGGAAGGAAGGCACCCTGTATATGTGGAGCACACACAAGCGAGGGCGATCGACCAACCCCTCGGGGCTCGCTGCTACCGATGCTACCACTGCCACTGACGCCCCGGCACATCTTTGCAGCTGAGTTAACAAGCGACGACGAAGTTTTCGAGCCCCCGACTACCACTGCTGCTTTTTCTGGATTCTCCACTTGCTTACAACTCTACTACCCTCTAGGACTCGTATTCCCTCGTTTCTTCCATCTCCCTTCTTCGCTGATAGTGCAGCCGAATGATTTTTTTTTTTTTTTTTTTTTTTTTACTGCTGGATGCTGATTCTTTCCCCACCCTGTCTATAACTTGTCGGTTCTTTGTACTTTTCCCCTCGCTTTTCCCTCCTTGCCTGATCCACAAGCAGACTGTAATAGCTAATGTCCCGATTTTCACGGTGATAGGCAAGGGTGTCTTAATCTGTTAAGGGACTGATCGGTCTCTATTCTTAAAACAGCATGATGAATGTATTTTTTGGCATGGACTTGAAATCTTTACAAATGGTTTTTGGCTACGACCGCGGTGGTACTTCTTTTTGGGGTGATGTGGTGGGTGGTCACGGGTGGTTCCAGAGCGGTTAATGTCATTGGCAAGTGTTATTTTTCTCGTTATTTTCTTTTCATGGCGACAGGTGCTGATTTAATTTATCAATCGAGGGGTAAAACAATCAAAAGTATGGTGTATGGACTTACCAGCTTTGTTTTATTGACAGGATGATGATCAACTCTGAAGGAGCAGCTGATGGTGACCTGAAACGAAAACGCAATTAGTTTTCGAGATTCGTTTTTTTCAAAAATAAACGAAGGTAATATATTATGTAATTAAATTACAACTCTTTTAAAAAAAACAAAGAATCCTGCATTATTAAATATTTTTAATAATGTGAAAGCAATCAGCAATTTTACAGCTAAGATTGATGCCTTGAACGATCAACTCCCGATTCGCTCCCAAGTTATAATCCAATCTAAGTAATTCCTTGCACCTCGGCAAGTCCACATTGTACTCGAATTAATAATACGTTTTAATCCACAGTCATGCTTCCAGACCCAACCAAGTCCTCAAAACTCCACTTGGAACGAAAGTTTCTTCCAACAGCAATCCAACCCAGCTACCCTCCAACTCCGCATGTTTTGCAAACCGTGGCATCGGTCCCCCGTCGACCCCCGATCTCCGGCGGCCTCCCATCCATTCTAATAATTTAACGCGATGTAAACACAACCATGACACTCTCAAAGTCTTCGACCCCCCAACCTCTAGCTCTTCTCGCACGCCCAAACAGAGTGTCCAAGAAGGAGGTGCAAGAAGAAGAAGAAGAAGAAGATGGGGCGGGGGAGAGCAGAGGAAGTGGAAACGTAGCGGTGTCGCGCAAACGGCCGATCGATAAGGGGACCAAGGAGTACTAGTCCGCTGAGAAACGGTGGCAGGCCGGAAGACTCATGGCCTCCTGTTTCGTTACGATAAGCAAGCCAGCTCGCAGTAACGGTGGTGGTGAAGGAGGAAGGGTAACAGACTACCGGCTTGTGCTTAAATATCGCAAGTTGTACATGGAAAAGGGGCGGACGAGGAGGAGGAGGATAACCACACGAGAGGGAAAGGGGCAGTGTGTATGGGTCGTTGTGGTGCATGTGCAGAAGTAGCCGAGACAAGAACTCTTCCTCCTCTATACCTTTTACCACTATAGGTACATGACGGCAAGGAGGTAACAAGATCACGTGAGAATGAGGAGGAGTGGCGTGGAATTGTTTGTGTTGTGTACGACGCGGGTATTACAAGGGATGATAGGTAGTGGTAGTGGTTGTCGTAAGGTGAGAAAGTGTAAAGAGAGACGCGTATGTTTTGAGGTATCTTGATACTACAGCGCGTGCTGCTGGTGGCGCGAGGTAAGCCCCTCTTGCTCGTTCTCCTCAAGTCGAGCTGGTGTTCCTTGAGACACGCGTTTAGGAGTGAGTTTGTACGGAAAAATGATGTATGGATGATAGGTAATACACTTTACTTGCGTTGCATGCCAGTAAAGTGTATGTGTTCTTGCGTGTCTGCGTTTTCTTATGCGTCAACAGCAATACAGCAATGCGCTTTGTTGGAAACTTGGACTTGTCGTCATTTCAATCTAGGCGTGGACTTTTTGCTTGTATTTTGTAAATATTCTAGTGGTCGATTCATAATTTTTTTTTTTTTTTTTATTTAGTGATGATCTCTCTTTTACAAGAGTTGGAGAATAAAAAAAAGATCAATGGCTCATTTCGTACTTCAATTTTCTAGACAAATTGGTGAGTATTCGAACGGTGAAAACAAAAAATTGATGATCAGAAGAAGTACCATGAAGAATAGTTGGACAATTTTTTTCCCATCTAATCAATAATTTCACCAAGTTTCAATCTGATAGGCATAGATTTCCAACTGTATCTGTTTCACACACGACCAACTCTCATTGTTTCTTTCAAATTTTGTTCTTACTCCAGCAAAATTAAAAATTAATCCAAAAACCCACCTTTGTTAGAGTGAAGGATACATAAAACGAGCAATAAAGCCACTTCCCTTGAGAAAGGACAAGGACGTAACCTAAAATAACGACTGTCCCTGCATCACCCACCCTCTGCAAGCACCACTGTCTCAGGTGTCAGGCCTAAAAAGTATCCTCCTCGCACTCGAAATCCGACAGAGATTCGAAACTTCCAGGACAACGATCAGCATGTACTTCCAAATGACCCAATTTATGTCGCCACTGCAGTAGCATTCGCAGGGTACGACTCCACGTGGAGAAGCAGAGGGACGCGACCGCAAAGAAGAGAGAAGCCACGTGAGCGTACCACACGACAACGACGATGAGAGGAGGATGTCTGTAGTACGTAGACAGAAAAGCGCCGCCTCATAAACAAGAGCTGCTCGCGCGAGAGGAGCAATAAAAGAGGCTCTATACGGCCGCGGGAATCCGCGTAAAACGAGGGAGGTGCGCGGTTAGTACGTAAGAAGCATGTTAAGCCAGCAGTACCACCTCTTTGGGTGTTCGTTGGTTTGTTCCTCGGGTGTAAAGGTCTGAAATGTACACGTGCATGGATACGATTCGTAGAGCCGAATTGTTTCGAGATGAGCTAATCTGACGGCTTTTATTTCACTACTCCACTTTGGGCCTTTAATTTTAGATGCCGTGTGCTGCGGGAGAGGAAATTTCTTGTAATTTTTTCGGTTTACTGCTCGCGCGGGAAGAACACGAGGTTTTGCTCGGCTTTGTTTTTATAGTTTGCAGTAGAATCTTTTTTACTGTCCCGAAACTAAATAATGCACTACCAAGAGTTAACCTTATTTTGCTGCTGTACGCTTTTGGTGTGCTACACTTCGAAGACGTCTGCTTGGGTGTCTTATTTCTATGAGGTACCCTGGATTTAATTTAAACGTAGAACCACCAACAGATTTAGTCAGGTTTCGAAAGGTGGTATTCCATGCACGCTGATTTTGGCTGTACGTGAGTAATAGCGGGTAACAGGGTAACAGGAGTAGTGGTTGGTGGGTTTGGATTTTGCACAACCATGAAGGTATTTGTGGTTACCGATAAAGTCGTAGATGCACAAATTGGAGGTAAGTAATCCTAACAGGTGTTAGGCACAGTCTCATCCTCTTTGTGGCTTGTGCAATGAAGGTACATACATGGTATTAAATGGTGCTAACTTATCATAGTTAGTGAAAGTTTGCCTATATGGGCGAACCTTGATGTAGGATACTCAGTTTGGAATTCGTCGTGTTTCATTGGACAAAAATAATTGAATAATACCATTTTTAACTTACTGGTGGAACCTAACAATAATTGCATACATTTAGAACAAGGGAAATTAGCTGTAATGACGTTCGGATGTCCGTAAAGTTTACCGTAAGAACCTGGATTAAGCATATTACAAACTGTGGACAATAATCCGACGATTATAAATTAGTTGGCCCAAATCTATTTTTACGATAAGAAATGAACTTAGGTTTAGGATCTTTGGAGTCTGACCACCTGGATACCCTCGAAACAATGTTTTGCACCATGAGTAGACGGGATGCTATGTCATATAATTTTGCATTTTCCAATGAGTACGTGAATGAGACAAAAACAGATAGACAATACCATGGAAGAATGACATACTGAATAGAATCTAAGGAAATAGTCGAATATGATATTTCTGATGTACCAAACAGAATAATGAGGTACCGCATGACTGAGTTTATTCTTCAGTCTTAGGAGACAATTTTGGAATTCTGAGAATAAATAAATTAAAAAGTGACTCCAGTTACTACATCTGTGGTCCTGGAGAACTCTTCTGGTGATAAAAATTGTACTTTCCACAAGTTATTGATTCTTTCTATGAAAAGTTCTTCAGAAAAAAAAGTTACGAAAACAAAGGAGGAGCAACCACGAGTGTATATGTGAATGTACACGTGCGTATATGGCAATGAGTGTTTTAAAGAAAAGTGATTTTGATTAGCGATAACCATGGCCCCGAGTCCCATCAAAAGTAAGTGCATCCTTGAAAATCAATTGTAGACCATTGGGCCGAACAAAGGAGGGAGAGGCATTGCAACGGCTGTGACGACGCGAGTATACCTACGTGTACCTTTATTGAATTGCCGGGGCACATCGACGAAAAAGAGTTCGGCAAGAGAAAGAGTTTCGCTCTCGCAATGGACCTACTTTGCCCGAACAAGAACGAAAAATAAAAAGTATCGCCATAAGCCCGCAAATAGGTTTCACGAACGCTTTTTTCGTCGCTGCTCCTTTGGCTTTCGTGAGACGAGTTTTCGCGGAAATTCAAGTCAAATTATTGATACTTCATGATAACGAGCTTATGTTTCTTTTCAATTGTTAATCTACCTTTTTTTTTGGTTTAATTCTTTTTTTCTCCATGGATCATTTGAAATAATTTTTCAAACAGATTTTTCCATCACTTTGTAACAAACATTTTTCGACAGACACGAATGACGAGTATAAACATTGTTCTGGAATGTCGGAGAGTAACACGAGAAAATAATAATAGCAATGTTGTCATAATAGGAACGGACGGAAGCGAGGAAGGAAGGATGGAAGTGGAACGACGCACGGATTAGTTAATTGGAGTCTTCCGTCAACAATACAAGCACACGCAACATTGCATTCAGGACTTCACCTCAAGGACACCATATTCTATTTCATAAATATACTTCCGAGCGCGAATCGCAGTAAAATTATTTAAATCAATAAAAAAATTTTTTTTTTTTATCCAAACAACCACACTTGTTTTTAGAGCACGATTCGCCTGTCGTCCACTGTTAATCGACGCGATGGACAAAAGCGTCCCAAATAAATTAAACGACGGCGCTTATTGTCTACGTGCCATCAGCCGCGCATGTAATACACGCACATAAAGCGTACAGCTCCCGACTTATTAATATAATAATAACTGGTGTATTGTACCCCGAGAGTCAGGCTCAAGAGAAAAATAAAGATCAAATATGGCGCACACACACACACACACACACACACACACACCCAAGCGCACTTGAATACAAAAAAAAGAAAAGAAAAAAGCCTAGGCATGTAAATTCGAAAGCCGATTGCGAACGACTGCTACTATCGTTCTCTCTCACACTTGCAGGGCTCGTACATTATAATATAATACACACCGCGCTCGCTCGCTCGGAGGGGAAGAGCCGAGGCCAGACGTTCCTTCTTCGTCGCACGCGCGCGTGCCTACGTGTTCGCAAACACATAAAACCTATATTATATGCGAGACGAGGGCCACCACCTCCTCTATAGCGCTCTGCCGCTCTCCTCGTGATGTATTTCGTATACGCGTGTGACCAACACACGCGGAGATGAGCGGGATTCCTCGTTTCGGAGGCCCTCGATCTGCTCTAGCAATACTTGTAACAATACAAAAAGAGAAGAAGAGACGAGAGAAGGAAGAGGGGGCGACAGGAGGCTGCTCTGCCCTGGTGTTTTGGTATTAAAAAAAATACGCGGTCGAGGGCGCGCGCCGGCGCTCGCAGGACCCCTCCACCCCCCCCCGTTTTTCTTCTTCCTTCTTCTGTTTTACACGTATACACAAGCGCGCAATATTTTTGGCTATGCTTTCTCTCTATCTTTTATTGCTCGTTTTATTGCAAATGTGTGTGTGTACGTGCAAAGTTGGACCGAGTTGGACTGACTTGTATTATTCCTCTTCGCTACACCTTTCGAGAGGGAAAGAAATAAAGAATTGGCGGCGACGTACGGTGTAATCGCATTATTCGCCTTGAAATCGCGTGTGTGCCCGTGTTGCGCGGTTGGAGGGAAAGGGAGGGACAAAGGAGAGGAACGAGAATGGAATCCCGATTTTTTCGGCGCGTTTCTCTACCCTCTCACGCTCGGCTCCTTCCACGTATACCCTCAACATTGTATATATATATATGCTCTATCGCTGGTGGCTTCTTACGTGTGTGCATGTACGTGTATATTTGGATACATATATATATGTATGNATACAAATCTTTTCCCAGCTGAGCATCGGTGGGCTTACCCCACTGTTGTTCTAATGATGTTTTGGACAGACTTCTATCAACATTAACATACTCTATTAAAGCAGAAATATGCTTACATTTGTGTCCATCATCCTGCTCCTCCTTTGGTGCCCCTCTCTCTCTCTCTCTTTCTCTCTCTGCGAGCTTGCTGACTGTCTGTATTCGCTCCGAGCCGACGCAGAGGTTGCGCCCTCTCTAGCCATAATCAGGCAACAATTCTTGCATGTAAACAAACGAAGAAATATATAGTAATACACTTTAAAAACATCATTAGCAGTAATATTTTTTAATTTCCTATAAAAGCAGCGATCNCGAATTACAACATCCATCATTAGGTATGCTTTTTAAAATGAGATTTTGACATTTGTGAGATATATATATCACTACTCTTTGTTTACATGCAAGAAAAGTTGTCAAATATCAGCTTCAGAGGGCGCAACCTCTGCGTCGGCTCGGAGCGAATAGATGGAAGTACTATTCACAGCACTCTCAGTCCATCTATGTCGTTTTTGATGAGAAATAACTTTCTGATTAAATTTAGAAAAGTCGAATATTACAAGTTAAAAGAAATTTCAATTATTTGTTATATTTGTCGGATAACTTTAAAGTATGATGATAGAAATGGCGATAATTTATATAAATACTGACCTGCTAAGTTCAATTTAATTTTTTTTGCAGTTACTTGTACTTAATATTGAGCAGTACTACGTCTAACTGCACTTCTCATCGTTACTGCACTATACCCTACTGTACCTTACACCACTATTGTGTGTTAAATTTTTAACAGACATACTTTGCAATCAACAGTCTTACTGATTCCGTTTATTTTCCATTCAAAGTTGTTCAGTTAAGTAAAATAAATAGAATCTATCAATTGTATTGATGTGACGGGTGTGCCTCAAGAAATATTCATTTAAAGACCAGGGACAAAAACATAATATTTTAAATGGATTTCCTCATATTTTAACTTCTCTATTATATTCACACTAGAATTTATAGAAAATGCCTATGCAAAAGTCTTCATTTACCTTAGAAAAAATATTATTTATGCGATTACCTTAAACAAGAACATATTTTGTAGGTAATCCTCCTTTTAGCAGTATAACCTTTAATGTAGGAGCTTCTGTGAGGACATCAAAACGGAGCATGCGATGTTGTATCGCAAACTATAAAAATACAACGACCAATTCATGTGATTTAGAGTTCTATCCATTTCCATCAGAAAACCATGCAGCAGAAAGACGTAGAAAATGGTTGGAAGCGATGCAGCCAAAAAACACTGATGGTTCTCCGTGGGAACCAACACCTTATTCTCGTATTTGTTCTCATCATTTTGCAAATAATAAAAAATCAGATGATCTTCTGCACCCTAGTTATGTTCCACAAATTTTTGATGAAGAAAGCAGAGTAAGGGTGAATGCAGCTGTTCATAGCTATGAATGTGATGTAAAACGTAAACATATTTCTGATTCTGCAGCTGCAGTTAATGATGCGCCAGTTAAAAAAATAAATCTGCAGTCAAATAAATTTCAAAACATTACCCTCAGTAACGAGCCAGAAAAATAAAAAAAACATTGCATACAAGTAGCTAACAAATCTTTTATTACAACTTTATTACAACTTTTATTACAATTTTATTAACAAGTTTTATTCAGACAGTTGAGCAAAAAGAAATTTTTTTGTGTAATTTATTCAGTGGTCCAGTGTCATGTGAAGCTCAAACTCAAATTACATCAGCAATGGTAAAGAAAGTTGAAAATAGTGAAATCTGTTCGAAAGGATTTCATGGATTTGTAAGCCTGTCTAATACGAATCAATTTGTCGATCTAGCTAGAGTGATGCCTCAAGTGTTCCAATTAATGCTCAAAATTTTGTCTCCAACAACGTTAGACTATAGCCCTAATAGATAAATCACCATTGAAAATAGACTTCTTCTGTTTTTAGTAAAAATGAAAAGTGGAATGACGTTTTCTGCAATTGGAGTACTTTTTAACATGCATAGAACAACAGCTTCAAAAATATTTTACTGCACATTAGAACACTTGATTGCTAAATGTCAACATTTCATTTTTTGGCCATCAAGAGAAACTGTGCAAGCAACTATGCCAACTTCCTTCAAGCAAGAGTACAAGAACTGCAGAATAATTATTGATTGTACAGAATTTGAGGTGGAACAGCCAGTTTCTATAGAGCAAAGAGTCCGATTTTACTCCCATTATAAGAAGGGATACAGGGTTAAAGTGCTAGTAGGGTGTACTCCCTCAGGATTTGTTTCTCTTTTGAGTAAGTGCCATGGTGGACGTGCCAGTGACTCCCAAATTACTGTATCATCTGGTATTTTGGACCTTTTAGAACCAGGAGACCTTGTACTTGCAGATAAGGGATTCCCTCAGATTAAAACTTTGTTAGATGATTCTGGAAGAGATGTTTTAGTTGTAATGCCTCCTTTTTTAGAAAATAAGCATTTTACTGCAGAAGAAGTTGACAAANGAAATAGTAGTTTTCCTACGAGTTTGAAAAGTCTCTGTTTGCGAACCGAGAGGTTTGCGGCCCGAGCCGAAGGCGAGGTCCGTAACGAGGTTCGTAAAGGAGACTTTTCGAACGAGTATCGGAAAACTGCTTTTTTGCCCGAGGAAGTACCAGCCTCCCAAAACCACCCGAGGGCGGAAAAAACTTGTACGCTACTCGTGCGGAAAATCGTCTTTTCCGCACTTGTTACGTAAATAACTACAGTGAAGTCAGTTAGTTCGAGCGTATTTGGTAATATGCGTTATTGAATTCAATATTCAAATTATTAAGAGTTACATTTTTTTCTTTAGTGATATAAGACACTATTTTTAAGGTTAAGATTCGTTTTGCCAATACTTGATCAGAAATATTTAAAAAAACACCATTGGAAATCATAATTTTCAGAGCTGGATATTGGCGTTATATTTAAAATTAGTTCAAACATAAATAAACAGTACTGTTAAAAATTAAATAGACGATTGCAGTATTTACGAATCATATTTTATACGAATCTTACAGAACATTTGGGTATGATTAACATGATGTGTTAAAATGATGTGTAATTGAGCCCTATGTACTTAAACTATTATTACAGATACGGAAATTTTATATATTTCTTGCATAAACTTTACTTAAGAAAAGACAAAATTTTTCGATAATTTTGATACCTGATTCACGCAATTTAGTAACTTACTTATTTAACTGTAAAGTAATCATTTTTTAACGGACGTTCAGTTACTCAGCTCCCACCACTATTTTTCATAAAATCTAAGTCAAAACTTTGTTTTTTAACTTATAGGAAAATCGAAAAACTTTTAAAAGATTTGTATAAACTCCAGTTTTCTTTAAAACGCTGAAAAATTCCAGAGGTATTTATCACAAACATAAATAAGTACGAGTACAGCTCTTATGCTAAATGCACATAGAACCAACAAACATAGGTTGCTGTCCACTTGTCTTCTCACGTAACACAATGACATTCTACGATTTAGTGAAGTTTTTCTCAAAATTGCTATCTAAATCTTAGAATAACCTTTCATGAGATCTTATATTTGACTGCTATTTGATCAAAATTTATGTTTGTCATATTGAAAATTTGTAGCCCATTTTTGTCAAAAAAAGGTTCGATAACCAATACTGATGACTTAACAATTTTCCATAGGACTATTTAAAAAAGTCGTAGTCCAAAAGTATCCACTCTCTGCATGAAAAAAAATTCATTTGTATTCAGCTTACTTGGATAGATATAATAAAAGCGTGTAAAATTTTAAGTAAATAAGAATATCTTATAAATGTTGGATTTTTGTTTACAATAATTGACTAATTCTGGTAGGAAATTTTTTATATAAAAACATTCTAATTTGGGTATTACTTCCATTAAAAATTCTTCATCTCTGTATACACTTACTAAGCAGCTCCTCTTCGGAGACCAAACATAGAGGTCACATTCACTCAATCCCATGGCGTACATAAGTACCTGGCACTGAGTGTAGTACTTGTGTGAAGCTTGCAAATGCATTCTGTCATTATACAGATATAAGTAAGGTACATTAAACTTCTTTTCCTTATTATTAAATATAGGCTTGCTCCGACAACTTATGGGACATTTTATTTCTAATACCTTGACAATGCAATCTTCATGAATAACAACGGCATCAGGGCTGGCACACAACCAGGGCTGTTGTGGCATTACAAGCACTCCAATAAACTTTACATCTTGTTCAAATTTTTGAGAATACTCGCGAATCGCTTTCTTTTCGTTCTTTATTCCGTACTCCAGAGCTTCACTTTTTTTGTTTTCCTTCTGAGAAAGAAAATCTTGGACAAGTTCATTTTCAGTTTTTTTTGTTCTACTTTTTATTCGATGAGCTTTTGAACTAGCACTTATCCTCACTTTTCTAACTTCAAACCATTTATCACACTCACTTTGCTTTACAGTTTCAATACAGATTTGAATGATGTCTAATTCTTGACGACATACATGAGTATCAAAATAAGATTTTACTTCCGGATCACTGATTTTAATATTTGATGAGTAAGTAGTGCTACTCATTGACAAATGTACCAAACAAATTGCACTCCCCTCTATCACACTATTTTCACATTTAGTGACGGCATGATGTACAATATCTTTTAAAATAGACTGTACAATTATACACTGTTCACTTCTATTTTCCAATTTCAAAATTTCTCTCAATGAACAATTTAAATCTAACAGATCCTCTACTTTAACATAATGAGGCTGAATATCGCAACAAACACTTGATTTTTTTTTAAACACGTCTGAGACAACGAGTGGTTTTGCATACAAATCTTTTCCCAGCTGAGCATCGGTGGGCTTACCCCACTGTTGTTCTAATGATGTTTTGGACAGACTTCTATCAACATTAACATACTCTATTAAAGCAGAAATATGCTTACATTTGTGTCCATCAGCTGTAACACATGTGCATGATGCATGTGTGACATATCTATTAGTGTCTAACTGAAAAAATATGCAATTCACATTTTTTTTTTTTTTTTACTTATCGTCCATTTACAAAGATCAAAATTTTCACCTCTAAGCTCACTTTGTAAGGATGTTCAGTGACACTGGTTGTTCTTATAACACTGCACCTTATTAACCTGCAATCACCTATTCCCTTTACTTCTTCTACTCTCTGAACATGGGAAAGAGATAGCATTTTTCCCTTAACGAGTTTTTGAGGCTCAAAATTTATCGAATGAGTGACGGGAGAAAAACCAGTCCGAATTACAACATCCATCATTAGGTATGCTTTTTAAAATGAGATTTTGACATTTGTGAGATATATATGTATATCACTACTCTTTGTTTACATGCAAGAAAAGTCGTCAAATATCAGCTTCAGAGGGCGCAGCCTCTGCATTGGCTCGGAGCGAATATATAAATGTTGGATCAAGGTTAATCACGTGGTTTTTAAAGCGAGAAAATTCAAAAAATACATGTTGAGAAATCAAACGTAGATTAAAGGAAGGTAAAATAATATAAAAAAGATAATTTTGCTTGATTATAAAAAATTAGTGTTTGCTCAAATTGGTGGGAGAAGCCCACAGGGACAAAGCCCTTAGTCATAATAAAAAAAGCATCAATTACCAATCGATTGAGCAACGAAACTATCAACATTCTCTGAAAGAGATTGATATTAATTTTTCCGCTCAAAAATCTTCCCTATTTTTTCTCAAGATCCTTTCGACTCTCATTAATACCCGCCAAACTGGCGAGGAAGAAGAAGAAAGAAAAAAAAAAAAAAAAAAAAAAAAAAAAAAAAAAAAAAAAAAAAAAA